TCTCCTCTTTGAAAGCATCCCTTGTGGAAGGCCTGAGAGGTCAGAGATGATGAAATGCTCTAGCTTTGAACTGGGAATAATACCGTTTCTAGACTCCAGCTCAGATTACTAACGGCGCACATCTGTCCCCAGAAACCCGCCGTCTCCCCAGCCTCTCTGTTGTCATTGATGCCGCCCACCACCACCTCGAGTGCCCGGGCACCCCCTTTTCATTCCTCTGCCTGTCACCACAGTACCAGGGTCTGCCACTGTGGTGTCTCTGTCACAGCAGCCCCCTTATGTCCGTCCCAGGGCCGTGAGTCCTCCCCGGTCACTCCCTATGTACTGGGCTCCAGTGTTCCTTCTCTGGTTTATCTCCACCCAGACGTTGTTTCCTGGAAAAGTCCTATTGTCGGAACCTCCTGTGGTCCCCTGCCCCCCCCCATCCTGCTGGTTTCCTCCTTCAACTGGCTTCATGCTGCTTTTCCATTCACTCTCCCACCTCCAGCCTGAGCCCTCCCCGCTGTCTCCTCCCATTCTTCCCCACAAGTCCCCCGATCTGAGCACCTGACCACTGGGCAGAGCCCCAGGACGCGCGTGCGTGCTGGGCGGGGGTGTCCCCTCTCCTCCGGGTCTCGGCCGGGCACCACTCCCTCTGGGAGCCTCCAGAGGAGCCCTCTGCCCCCTCCCCATCCTGGACTGGAGCTTCCCGAGGACCCACCCCTCGAACTGGCGTTCCTGCCACACGTCCGCACAGGCCAGGTCCTCTATAGACAGAGTCCTGTACCTAAGTCCCCTGTGCTTGTCACTGCCACCACTGAGGCTCTAATGTGAAACCAAGCAGGTGTCACGAAGCAGCACGCACGGGGTACCCTGCAGCGGTTCCTCAGCTGAGCGGCTGGAGCGAGGCCCCCGAGCCTCAGCCCCCCCCCTTCCGGAAGATGGAGGCCAGAGAGCAACTGTTATTTTTGAGGCTGCCGGCAGTATTTTCGGCCTCCCATCATCTCCTTCCCGTGTCCCTCGAATGCCATCATCTACTGCAATTCACTTTATGCCCAAGGCTAGATTATTGGGGACTGAATTGGAATTTTCCATAATAACTGCAATATAAAGTTTGGCCAGCATTTTGCCTGCTAAGTTGGGTTTTTGGTTTTTTTTTTTTTTAGTTTCTTCTCCCCTATTGTGGCTTGAGTTGTGTCACGTGGTGGCCCCACAGTGTGAAAGTGTGGTCCCCTGACAAACTTCTTAACGACACAGGCTCACAGGACACTTTGCATCTTCAGCTCAGTGCTCCGTAGAAGCGACCCTCCCAACTGATGGCTCTGGGGACGGTTCCTTCCGGATCCTTTTGAAAGATTGTATTAGTCAAAAGGTGAACAATTTAGAAACGTGGTTTTGTTCTTGTCCCTAACGCGTTCTTGTCCCTTTTCTGCATTCCGGTTCACTTCCTCCCTGCCCCAGTTCGAGCCGGGAACACACCATTAGCAGAGGGACTCGGAGCTCTCGGGTTAGAGTGTTTTGTTTGGACCTAGACCGACCCACGGAGTATCACTCCATAGCATCTGTGCACACCTCCTCGTCCCTCCACTCGCCCTTCAGGGTGCGGATGGCATCCACGGCGCATGGGACTCGACTGTGGCCTGACAGTACTGGTGGCTCATAGCCCGAGGGCTCTGAAAGACTGACCAGGAGCGGATTTGGAACCAGGAACTGTCTCTGAAGTCACAGTTCCTCTTTCTCCGAGAGTTAAGAGTCTTGGTTGCTTAGAGACATCCTAGCACCCCCGCTTCTGAAACAGATGCGTCGTCACGCCAGGTCCAGTGGTTTAAGCCCATACCTGGTGTGCCTTCCTCCATAACGTGACATGGCATCTAAACGGCTCATGTTTAGGAGTCTGGGTCCCCATGACGCGGCACCAGGTGTCTGTTCTCTACTTAATCTGTACGTGAAACATACTTTGTACATAAACTGATGAAAAGTTACAGTGTTTTACCACGTTTGTGGTCTAGGTAAGCTCAAGTATTAGATCAAAAGGCTCATCCAAATGTTTGCCTGCGAATTTCATGGCAATAAAAATGTTGCCATGTCATATCTCAGTCATCCTAAATTCTGCCTTAAAATATTGAAGTCATTCAATAATGCTATGAAATATTAAAATCAAATCTGTGAGGAGACGAACAAGGATCTGTTGCATGAACGATGTGAGTGGATCCCGGGCTGAGGGATGAAGGGCCCCGTGGAACTGGGGTGGGGACAGGGTGTCACGTGCACGACAGAGGAGTCTGAAGTGGCCGTGCCCGGGGGGGTCCGAAGGACCTCGCACTTCCAGGCCACTGCGGCCGCCCTCAGCCTTGCATCGTTCGGGGGTGGCCACTGCTGGCTCGAGTGTCGGCCTGCTCGTGCACCTGCCGAGGTCTCTGGCGTGCCCAGGGCTTTAGAGTCACGCAGGCTGGGGGACGCTGCCTCAGCCCCGGCTCACGGGGGTGCCGCCGTGGCCCGTGGCTGCGACTTCTCCATCGCCGTCCCCCCCAGGTGCAGCCTGGCCTCAGCCTCCCACAACAGAAGGCACAGAGGTAGGTGTTTCTGTGAATGCGTCAGCCCTGGCCGAGCGCAGGCAGGAGAACAGGAATGTCTGGCTAAGTGGGCACATCTGTCCAGCAGCTCCGCTGTGCTCCACTGCGAGTTTGGAAAATCGGTTTTATTTTCTGACTGCTTATTTCCACGAGTGGGAGTCTTCCTGGTAGACAGATGCCTTTCATGCAGGAGGCTTTCATTCGCTTACTTATTTACTTAATTTCCTTTTCCTTAACAGAGGGAGAAACAAAAAGCAACAATCCCCTCTCCTGCCCTGGGGGAAGCGACTGTGGGAGAGGAGCGGAGCCCCGGCATCAATAGATTAAGAGAGCGTCCGGCCTTCCAGAGGGCTTTTGAAAAGCTCTTTGTGCAAACAGGGAGCTCTCTGGCTTTTGCCTTTCTCTCACCCGGGCTTGGTGCTTCTCAATAGGATAATGGGCCTGGTTTAAGTCAAAGCCCAACGTCTTAGTCACAATAATGAAAACGGAGCCGTGGCAACCCTAGCAAGTTTAAAGGCATACCTTGCTTTCCAAGGGCGACCTGTCTGTGATTAGAGGTCTTTCATGTAGCCACAGACATTGAACGGACCCCTTCCATCTGTAAGGAAATGAGGAATTTTGTGAAGTGGAGATGGGCTCCAACTCTCCATAGCTAACATAATTTATGCCAAACCATGCAATTAGTGGTCGCTATGCTAGACGTTTTTTTTTTTTCCCCTCCAAACGCGCCTCTCATAAAACCCTCGTGAGGAGCAGTGCCATCTAATGTGGGTAGTAAACATGCAGAGGAAATTATTAATATCTGGGGAGGCACGCAGGTGGCAGGAAGTCCATTTCTCCTTGGAGCTGCTTGTGCGCCTTTGCTCATCTTTCTTGCCCCCCAAAAAATGGCAAAGATAAATAGGAACTTTTCTCTGAGAAGTAACAAGCAACAGGACATGGATGTAACAAACAGCACGACGGGTAAACACCTGCTCTTCCTGCCTCTGCAAAGTGGATGGTGACTTTTGGCTCCGTCTGTAGCATAGACTGATGAAGGTTGGAGCATGTATGTGCTGCTCACTGGGGAAGGCCCCGGCGGGCAATCGGGGTGCTGGTTTTCAGTCAGGTTCCCAGTCCTGTAACCTTGACATTTCCTACTGGCACATGGAAAGGTAACCCCCCAGCAAACCCGTGTCCCCGGGAAAAGCTGCCCGCGTGCGCTCTGGCCTCACCCTCTGTCTGGAGACTTGCGCAGTGATGGCCCGGGTCCCTGGCCAAGGCAGGGCTAGCCTCAAGTTCCTGCCCACTCCGGCCAGTTCACCTCGGGAGGCTTCCGCAGGATTTGAGCGCGTAAGCACACAAGGTCAAATCAAACGGCTCCAAGGCTGCTGCTGGCTCAGGGGCCTGACCTGGTTCCCAGCCCCCAGGCCCAGACCTGGAGCAGGAGAGGGGCCGGGCCTGAGTCCCGCTCCGTAGATGAGCCAAAGGCACCCGTTTTCTCCCCTGTTTACTCCAGAAGCGCCCCTCCTCCCCGCCTGCTGGCACCCCTGAGCCAGGCTCCAGCTCCCTGTGGCATATTTTTGGGTCGTAGAATGCTGAGGTCACAGGGATAGGCTCTTTATCTGAGAAATGTTGACACCAAGCATGAACCAGCAAGATGCACTCTGGCTCTTGACTTTGGGCTCCAGGCGCTGCCCCGGCCCAGCCCTGGCGGCCGGCACAAGCCCTCCTCCCTCCTGCCCTCGCCTGCCTGCAAGCCTGCCTGCTTGGTCTGCAGCGCGGACTGGTCTCCCGCGCCTGTCCTGTCTGACTCCGGTGCCTCAGTCCAGAAGCCCCGAGGGCGCAGACCTCGGCCCAGAGCCCCTGGGGAAGGTGCCAACCAGACCGAGCCCTGGCGCCACAGAAGGAGACAGGCATTTCACGTGGGCATCTGCCTTCCCTCCTGCTGGCGCCTCTCCCCACGCAGCCACTGCCAGGGCCCCTCTGCTCAGACTTATAGCCCCCTGAAGTTAATCAGCCTTACTTGCCAGTTTGCTTTAGTTTAGAAAATACTTAAAAACTGGAAACATTCAGGGCCACAGCTGCCCCTGATCCCTCCAGTTTTGCCTGGCTAGGGCTGTCGGACGCTCCCCAGGCTGTGGCGTTTGTCAGGCACCCATATCGCAGTCACGCAGCCCCGCTCCTCCCTGGCAATCACCAAAGTTGCCGGATGCCCCTCGGTTTTCCAGCCACACCAGATCTAGTTGCATAACCTCGCCCCCCACCCCCACTTGCGCCCGCCCGGTTCTGGTCCGCTCCAACTGCACCAGAGCGTCTGGCCCCCAGGGCCACCGAGTCCTCGCTAAGCCCCTCCGGAGGCGAGTGCGAGCACCTGCGCCGGGTCGGTGCCGTCAGGGCGGTGCTCTGCCTGTGGCCAAGTGCAGGGAGCACCGGGCTCGGGAGGACGGCGTGCGGGGCTCCGCTTACCTTCCGCTGCTTACAGTTAAGTCGAGGTCGGCGCAGCGCCTGGCTGGGGCATGTCTCGCCGTGGACCCGGGCAAGCCTGGCGCGGCACGGAGCACTCCGGACAGGGCATCCGCAGGGAGGCTCGCGGGGCTGGCTTGGGGGAAGGTTCAGCTCCAGGGACTTGGCCGGCTGCGCGCCCCTTACCCGCCCCCTCCACAGCCACGGGCCAGGCCCGCCTGGCCGGCCCCCGCGCCGCAGCTCGCGTCCCTCCGGCCCGGCTCAGCTACGCGCACGAGGAGGCAGAAGCTCCGCGGGCTCCGGGGACGCCCGCGCGCTCGCTAGCTGGCGGCGTGGTGGAGCCAGCCACAGCCACCCGGCTTCCTGCTCCTCCGATGTCCTCATTTACTGCAATTGTCTTCGGGGAGATCTGGGAGCCTGGGCCGGGAGGTGGGGGCGGAGCGGGGGAGGGAGCTGGAGGGAAGTCCTTGCAGCGGCCCCCAGGTCCCAGCTACTCCACGGAGCCTGGAGGAGAGGGCACCGGAGAGCCGCGCACGCCCGCTGCCTGTGCGCCCGGCTGGCACCGAGGCGGGCGGAGCCCCGGGCCGCGGGGGCGGGGTGGGGGCGGTGCAGGGCCAACCGTGCGTGTGGGGTGGGGGATCCGGAGGGAGTGAAGGAGCCCCCGCCCGCTCGCCCGCAGACGCTGGAGCCCCAATCCGAGCTGGAGGAGGCGGTGGAAGGAGCCGCCAGCGGCTGCCGCCTGCGCGCGGGGCTCCACCGCCGTGCGTCCTCTGGGTCTCTGGGCTGTAGGCGGCGCTGTGAGGCCCTGGAACTTGTTGAGTCTACCCTGGAGCCGCCTCTGGAGCAGCTGGAGGGCAGCGGGGCATCCTGCACTTTCTCTAGGGAGGGGATGCTGAGGAACCTGCACTGGGGTTGTCTCCTGTCCCACCAGCCTGCCCAGTCCAGTGGGACTTTGAAATCCAGCCGTCCCTGCCCCCTCACCTGAGAGTTGCTGTGGAGATGAGGGTCAAGGGCAAGTTTCCTTGTGGATTCCACCTGGCGTTAGCCCCAGTAAGTACAGACTGAGGACAGGCTGGTTGTGAGTGGCCTGGGGAGGGAAGCGCCTGCTAGGTCTGCTGCCCCCTGATATTTAGGAATACTCCAGAGCAGGCAGGCCACCGCCCCTGCTAACCAGGACCTGTCCCCCACCCCCCAGCACACACCAGCGCCCGCAGTGTGCTGGGCACAAGCCACATCTGTCTCAGGGCAAAGTTAAGCCCAAATGGGGAGAGATCTGGAATGCACAAGGAACTGCACCCCCACCCCGTACCCCTTCCTCCAAATCTACCAATAAGTAGGTGTTCTGAGCTCAGAGCAGCTGGCCAGGGGCCGCTCTGGTTCCTGGAAGGCAGGCCCTGGAACCTGGGCCTGGGCCCCTGCATTTTCTCAGGCTTGGGTTTGCAGCTCATCCTCCGGGGACACACTCGCCAGCAGCCACGTTCCTTAGTCTGAATATCTCTCAAGGAAGGACAGGGTCACAGTGGATCCAAGGGCAGTGACAGGCCTTGGGACGCAGTCGGGATACCACGTGGGGACTTGCCGTCCCTCACCGCAGACACACACAGCTGCAGGTGCACATAGCTCCGCAGGCACAGCCCGGGTCCCTGCCCCTAGTGGCAGCCCTGTGACTGGGACCCGGCCATGGCTCCGACCTTGTTTCTGAGCTGAACTGAGCCCAGCACTGTGCTTCCCTTGGTGTCTCTTCTTTCTGATTGCCTTTGTGTGGGTGCTCGGGGTGACATTGCAGAAGATATTCCAGAAAAAAGCCATCTTGAAGTCCCCTTTCTCCTATTACCTCTCAGCATTCTGGGGGACAGCAGGTCTGCCATCCTCGGACTCCCCAAAAGGGGGTCCTGACCTGCATTCCAGCTCCGGCCACCCGGTCTGTTTATTAGCCCTTCTTAACCCAGGTCCCCCAAGTCGGGTTTCTAGCCTATTTACTTCCCTGGCTGGCTGGTTGGTGATGCTGGTGGGAGTTGGCTGGAGAGACAGGATTCTTCTATTCTTTGTCATTTTAGGTGATGCGTGAGCAGCCCTGGAACCCTGGAACTTGCTGTTCTGCCAGGAAGGGAACCGATGTGGGGGATGTGTAGGACTTGGGGACATTTAATGCCAGGTGGGAGGGATCATCCCCGTAGCTGCCTCCAACTCTGTCTCTCTGGGGACATGCCGTGGTGGCTGTGGGCTCAGGAATTCTGCCGGCTGTCCGGGGACTTTCTGCACACACCCTCATGACTTCCAATCCCTCGAGTCCAAGCCCGCCCTCCGTCTCTTACACGGAATCTTACATGATTCCTGCGCATCACGCAGCCAGGAAACTGCATTTGTGCTGCGGGGGTGGGAAGCCAAAACCTTGGGGGCCCTGAGTGAAAACAGATACACGTAAATGCGCACCATGCAGCACAGAGCGGAGCCACAGGTGGCAGTGTGAGCCAGCTGGACGGTGGCTCTGGGGACAGTGCAGTGGGACGGCCCTGTGATGTCTGATTCTAGGGAGAAAATGAAAAGCTGTGATTGGCAGGTTAGGAGGCTCCATTTTTATGGGAGGGGAGTTTTATTGGACTTCGTAGTGCCGTCAAGACCACTGTGAGTCGTTCAGCCATCTGCGGGACTTACAGCTGTTCCCCAGTCTGTTAAAATCATGGGTAAACCCCCCCATTTTGAAGCAAGACAGAATTTGCCTATTGCATTACTCAACGGCATGTCTTCAACTTCACAAGAGTGCAGATCGGTGAAAAGTGGTCTCACTCGACCTCGGGCTCTAGACAGACACTCCCTGTGGGTGAGGTTGGCAGGTCCTGGTGCTGTTCCCGGGAAGGCGGTGCTGTGCTGGGGGTCGGGGTGGGCTTCACCGTCCCTGCACACGAACCTCCGGGCCCACGAACCTCCGGGGCGCACTGACCATCTAACACATGAGAGGGTGCATGTGTTTAGGGTCTGGAATGGATGATGATGGTCAGTGTCCCCAGGAAAAGAGTTGAAGTTCATAGAAAGTAGATTTATCTCAGGAATCACTTAAGTAAAAATCAGTGTCTTATATTTTGCTTCACAGTTTCGCTGAAAAAGACCTTGCAAAGGGAAAAATAGCTGGTTTTTAAAGTAGGGTTTGCTGAGAGCAGAAGCCTCCATGGAGGCTTCTCCAATGGAGGCAGAAGCCTCCATTTTTACTCTCCCCTGAAGAGTAAAAATCACAAAGTATAGGAGGCGCGACTAAGAAAGCATCTGAGTTTCTCTTCCTTCGCTCTCTTCTCAGACGTGTGTGGGTGTCAGGCAGAGAATGGCTGCAGTTCCAGCCTGTGGTTTAGTGAGTTCCGATTTCCCCATCGAAAAGGACAGGGACACACGCGTCACAGCTGCACAAGGACGTTCACGGGGCCCCGGCCCGGCAGCTTGTTTAGAGCACTGTCCCGCACACTGAAGGGCTGAGGGTTCGATCCCTGGTCAGGGCTCACTGGGGAGGCAGTCGATCGATGTTCCTCTCTCACATTGATGTCCTCTCTCCCCTCCCTTCCTCTCCCTCCAAAATCAGTAAATGTATCCTTAGGTGAGATTACGAAACAGTGTTTGCAATGATCTGGTCCGTCTCAGTTTCAAACTGGAAACGACCCCTGTGTCTGTCAGCCATGGAATGGACAGAAACGTCTTGGTTGGCTCGTACGGAGGAGGTCTACGTGGCGAGGCAAAGGACTGGCTGCTGATCCAGGGAGGCAGGAAGTGTGCCCCGAAACCTCGCACACAGGAGGCCAGCCGACTCCGTTCCAGCGGAGGCCCAGGCAGGGCAGAGTTATCGGTGGTGGTCAGCGTCGGGAGGGCGGTGGCCTCTGGGCACACTGATCCTGGAAGGCCACGGCGCCTTCTGTGCTGCTGCTTGTCCTGCACCCGGGGCTGGACGGCTGCCCTGTTGCAGGCACGTGGGAGAACTGACCGGCACGTCTCTCATCCCAGTGGGCCTCCTCCATTCTGGCACGCCAGGCACGTCACTGCGAGCTTGCAGTTTCCACAAGCCTCCCCGGAAGTTACCATTTAAATGAACCAGCCAATCACCAGTCGGTGAAATTGACGTGTGTCTGCCGAAGCCACCTTCTCTCCAAAACGCAAGCAAAGGGCACGGAGGGGCGCCTGCAAACTGCCCGCTGCTCGGGAAGAGACTTCTCGTTGGGGCTTTCTCTGACTCTTCGATGCAACCAGGATAGAGTTCACTTCAGACATGACTTTCCTACCTCATCCTTCGATGTCCTAACGTGGCCGTCAGCTGAGCCCCCGCCTGCAATGGCTCTCTCTCTGCTCCATGAGTTCCTGTCCCTTCTCTCCATCCCCGTCCAGGTCCGATCTGGGGGCACAGCTCTTCCAGATGAGGCAAGGGACTCAGTCCGTCTGGAAAGGCCAGCGTCTCTCAGAGCCTGCCCGAGTCAGCTCCTTGTAAAACAGGCACCATGCCCACGCTGAAGGGCGTCTTTGACCGGAGTGAGGTCAGGAAGGGATCGAGATTGCCTTCACATGTCGGTGTCTGGTAACCCTCTCCCCTGGTGCCCGCACTGGTGGGGGGCTGGCCCCGGGCCGCCTCCCTGGTGCTCATGAGCCCCGAGTGCTTTGGGGCCTCAGGTCAGGGCTTTCCCTGTGGCCCTCCATCCCCACCTCCGGTTTCACAGACACCGAGGAGGAGGAGGAGACAGAACTTGTCCTGATGCTGCTCCTGTCCTTCCACACACCGGGTCTGACCAGCATGACCGTCCTCCCAAATGCCCGGCCCCTGGTCCCCAGCGGTGCCCCCTCCTGTCCTCAGGAGACACCGTGTGCACACACTGTCATACTCTTCACAGATGAGGAAGGGAGAGTGGATGATTCCGCCAAGGTCACAGAGCAGGGAAGGGACAGAGCTTAGATTCCAACCCAGCTTTGCTGGGTGTCACGATGCAGCGGCACCCCGCCCAGGTCTGCGGTGAATTTGCTCAAGAACCCACCTTATAATTTAGCATGACTCCAGCTTACCACACATGACTCAGACATCACAGTCCTGTGTGAGGAGTGGCGTCAACCAGGGAGATCCACGCTGGGAGCCTTGAGTCCTCGTGCTCACACCTTCGGGCAGACGCCAGGGGCCTCGCTCGGCCCTCACATGGGACAGGCCCCGACCAGCAGCGGCACCTGTGGGTGGCGAGCGCTCACCAAGCAGACGGAGCCTGCAGGCTTGCCACGGAATGTGGCCCGTCAGGTGCCGTTCGCCTTTGCCACGTAGGCCTCATCTCCTGCCTCAGTTCTACCTGGAAGTAAAAATGGCCTCTGGGAGGGCAGTGCAGGGACCACACCCTGCTCAGAGGGCACCTCGTGCTTCTCCAGTGTAATCCCAGCGACATCACTGCACGTTTTCGCCCCTGAATAACGACTCTTGAAATAATCCGTCGATATATCGTCCACATGCGGGCCGCTCCCTGGCCTTGTGCTGTCAGCTGTGGACACACTGTGTCACCGTGGCCTCTGAATCGTCCTGCCCGACC